AAGAGGACACCAGAAAATGGAAGGATCTCCCTTGCTCCTGGATTGGGAGGATCAACATAGTAAAAATGGCAATTCTACCAAAAGCAATCTATAGATTCAATGCTATCCCCATCAAATTTCTTCACAGATCTGGAGAAGACAATAATCAACTTTATATGGAAAAACAAAAAACCAAGGATAGCCAAAACAATCTTATACAACAAAGGAGCGTCTGGAGGCATTACCATCCCTGACTTCAAACTCTACTACAGAGCTACAGTATTGAAAACAGCTTGGTATTGGCATAAAAACAGAGAAGTTGACCAATGGAATCAAATAGAAGACCCTGACTTTAACTCACAAACCTATGAACACCTGATTTTCGATAAAGGAGCTAAAAGTATACAATGGAAAAAAGAGAGCATCTTCAACAAATTGTGCTGGCAAAACTGGATGTCAATCTGTAGAAGAGTGAAAATAGATCCATATCTATCACCATGCACAAAACTCAAGTCCAAATGGATTAAAGACCTCAATATCAGTCCGAACACACTGAACCTGATTGAAGAGAAAGTGGGAAGTACTCTACAACACATGGGCACAGGAGACCACTTCCTACGTATAACCCCAGCAGCACAGACATTAAGGACCTCATTGAATAAATGGGACCTCCTGAGACTGAGAAGCATCTATAAAGCAAAGGACACTGTCACTAAGACAAAAAGGCAACCCACTGACTGGGCGAAGATCTTCACCAACCCCGCAACTGACAAAGGTCTGATCTCCAAAATATATAAAGATCTCAAGAAACTAGACCGTAAAAGGCTAACCAACCCAATTATAAAATGGGGCATTGAGCTGAACAGAGAATTCTCAACAGAAGAAGTTCAAATGGCCAAAAGACACTTAAGGTCATGCTCAACTTCCTTAGCGATCAGGGAAATGCAAATCAAGACAACTTTAAGATACCATCTTACCCCTGTCAGAATGGCTAAAATAAAAAACACCAATGATAGCCTTTGTTGGAGAGGTTGTGGAGAAAGGGGTACACTCATCCATTGCTGGTGGGAATGCAAACTTGTGCAACCACTTTGGAAATCAGTGTTTCGGTTTCTCAGGAAATTCGGGATCAACCTACCCCTGGACCCAGCAATACCACTCTTGGGAATATACCCAAGAGAGGCCCTATCATACAACAAAAGTATATGCTCAACTATGTTCATAGCAGCATTGTTTGTAATAGCCAGAACCTGGAAACAGCCTAGATGCCCTTCAGTGGAAGAATGGATGAAGAAAGTATGGAATATATACATATTAGAGTACTACTCGGCAGTAAAAAACAATGACTTCTTGAATTTTGCATGCAAATGGACAGAAATAGAAAACACTATCCTGAGTGAGGTAAGCCAGACCCAAAAAGAGGAACATGAGATGTACTCACTCATAATTGGTTTCTAGCCATAAATAAATGACTTTGAGCCTATAAATTCGTGATCCTAGAGAAGCTAAATAAGAAGGTGAACCCAAAGAAAAACATATAGTCATCCTCCTGGATATTAACCTTCATCAGGCAATGAAAGGAGACAGAGACAGAGACCCACATTGGAGCACCGGACATAAATCTCAAGGTCCAAATCAGGAGCAGATGGAGAGTGAGCAGGAGCAAGGAACTTAGGACCGCAAGGGGTGCACCCACACACTGAGTCAATGGGGATGTTCTACTGGGATCTCACCAAGGCCAGCTGGCCTGGGTCTGGAAAAGCCTGGGATAAAACCGGACTCTCTGAACATTGCGGACAATGAGGACTCCTGAGAACTCAAGAACAATGGCAATGGGTTTCTGATCCTACTGCACATACTGGCTTTGTGGGAGCCTAGGCAGTTTGGATGCTCACCTTACTAGACCTGGATGAAGGTGGGTGGTCCTTGGACTTCCCACAGGACAGGGAACCCTGACTGCTTTTCGGGCTGGGGGGGGGGGACTTAATTGGGGGAGGGGAGGGAAATGGGAGGCGGTGGCGTAGAAGAGACAGAAATCTTTAATAAATAAATAAATTAAAAAAAAGAATTTGTAATGAATATTTACTGCAGTCTTATTTGCGGTAGTTAACACTGGAAACAAAGTAGGTATCAATAGATTAATGGAATATTACAGCTGGCCCTTCTATGCCATTGGTACCGGGGTGTCCCCAGACGAGACAGCAATGCCCGTGGGTTGGTAAAGGGCTTGGAGCTAAACCACTCTGGAGACAGTTTCCGAGAAGAGTGTCTGATTTGTTGTTCGTGAATAACCACTTACACAGTGAAAGCCTATGGCTTGTGATTGGTTAGCACATTAGCTCAGACTGGGCAGTGAGAACTCCTCTCATTAGAGTCTCTGTGCGGAAGAGACACATTAGAGGTGAGAGGAAGAGTCCAGGCTCTCTATGGGCCAGCAACCAACTATGCAGGCGACTTCATAATTCAATGTTCTGACTTGAGGGGCAAGTTGTGCCATACTTCTTCTTTAGAAGCACCTTGTACCAAGTAGGCTGGCCACCGGGTGATGCCTGCATTTTCTCTTCCATTTCTATACAATGGAACTCTTTCTGAAAGAAAGAGGAATAGACTGTTGACCCAAGCACCTATGGGACTGAATCTCACAATAGTTACGCTAATAAAAGAAGTCATTAAAAAGAGGACCTACTGCCAGGTTTCGACTACACGAACTTTTTAAAAATACAAACAGGTATTTAGTAACAGACAGCCCATCAGCTGTTGCCAAAGGCTATGTCGGGCAGTCATGAAGGGCAGAAGTATCCCTGGATATTTTTATATTCTGCATATAATGTTTGAGAGTCTGCATATATTCATTGTCTTGACTGGGTTGGTGGCATTGCTGGAATTTACAGGTATGTAAATATTTTTCAATACAGACTTTATGTATCGTTTATTGTTTTCAATGTTACTTCAATATCACTGTCAACAGGTGGCCTTGCAGCTTCATTCTGTTACTGTGTTAAAAGACTGTAACCAAAAGCAGCTTGGGTGAAGGAAAGGGTTTACACTTTCAAGTTTCAGTCCATCACTGAGGGAAGCCAGGGCGGGCCACTCAGGCATAAAGGGAAGCAGAACCTGGAGAAGAACACTTCTTACTGACTCCCTCCTTGGTTCATGCTGGCCAGCCTTCTGATTCAGACCAGGCCCACCCACCTAGAGAGGGTGCCCTCCAGAGGAGACTGGAACCTCCCACAGCAACCAGCCGCCTCAGCAGGACAATCTGATAAGGCAATCTCCAGGTGACTCTAATTTTAATCCTGCTACAAATGGCACCCAAATGATTGGGAAAAATTTCCACTTAAAGTCTGAGAAACTTTTTTTTTTTTTTTTTTTTAAGGACTAGATCTAGACTGAGAAAAACAAAGTCAAGTGCAGCTTCTCTGTAACCGTATTTTCTCCCTATTTTCTCCTGTAGACTATGTTTGCTGGTGGCAAGTTAGGTCAACTTGACACTAACAAGCACAAAGAGTGTGCTATTTTCATTGATATTTTTCACAAATCAACCCAAATTGATCCACAGAACCAAGTACGTAGTCTCTTAGGCAGAAAGACAGTTTCCTTATTCACTGCCCTGTATGATTTATGTGGTCAGTTCATAACTCATTTATTCCAAGGGCCGCGTCAGTGAGTTCTAGTTAGCAGTGCTGATGGTTCAGTGGGACAGGAGCTTCATTTGTGTTTACGTTTCACAACTTCCTGTGAAACAGGATCTCAGGTAGTGTTGGCTGGCCTGTACCTGCCTGTGAGCTGAGGATGACCTTGAACTCCTGATCCTCCTGCTTCGATTTAGCAAGTACTGAGATTAAAGGCTTGAGCCCTCACGTCCAGCACATTTAATATTTTTCAGCGCTTTCATGTTCTGGGCTAAGTACTCTTACATGGGCAAATGTCGTTTACATCTTCACAAGTTGGATAATACATAAGTAAGATAATATCCTTACTTACAAAGAGATAGGCTGCAATGTAGAAATTATTTAAAGGCGTAAAATAAAACACTTAAAAATCATATAAAACTAGCATCTACTTTTTTTTGCATAAAATTTTGCCTTGGAGCCATGTTAAAGTATGATAGTTAAGAAGAACCATTCTGTAGTCAGAACTCAAACCTGAGCCATTTACAAATATGAATTTAATTTGTGTTTTCTCATTGTTGTGGATAAGAAAAGCTGAGTAAGGTAGAATTTGACGTCTGCCTTTTGATACAAGGTCTTGGCATTGCAAAAACAAGCTACAACAAAGCGGTTTGTTCATGATGATAATGAGGCTGTCTTTACACAGCACTATTAGCCTTGTGTTTTACGAAACGAGGATGTTTAATAACAGGTTATAGATTTGTGTATTATGTATTACATCATAAGCCCCCAAGGCTAGTGCTGTGTCTGAAAAGCTGTACTAAATGCTCTTAGCAAGTTCACATGTTTATGTACTCAATCAATGCCTAAGGCATCTTTCTTAATTAATCCACGTTAATGAAAATAGTTTACATAGCTCAAGCCAGACAGTTGTTTACTAGAGTTGTTTATGGAGGATGGAGCCCATACCTGAAGCCATGAATTACCACAAAACATAGTGACCCAGTGCGGCTATATTTTAATTACTTGTTCAAAATGTCTTTCTTCCTCTAAAGCTTGGACTAATTACCATGCCACAGTCACACACGTTTGTGGATTGCCTGTCGTGTTTACCTATAGCCTAAAAGCTGAAACAGAGTCCTAGCTCTCATAGAGCAAAACAGGCAGCTTTTCAGACGATCAAAAACCAAGTCTAGAAAATAATCCTGAACGCTGGTGTACGTCAAAGATCACGGCTCGTCATCTTCACTGCAACAACGTGGAAAGAGCTGAGAGAATTTCCGGCATTGAAATCCACGTCAGTCAACTCGCTGGGGGGCGGGGCCTTGCGCCGTCCGCCGAGTGCGCACGCGCTATCGGGAGGCCGGCTGTGACCCTGAGAGCTTGCCGTCGCGTAGTGCGCACGTAGGACGTCGCGTCTGCGCAGACGCTTGGCGCAGAGGCCTGGCGGAAGCCAAGATGGCGCGGAAGAGGTCTGCAGGCCGCGCTTGGCGCTTTCTCCGCGTCTGAGCCGAGTTCTTTGGAAGGGACTGAGGCAGACGCCCTGCGTGCCGCGATGGCTCGGCATCGGAACGTCCGAGGATATAACTACGATGAAGGTGGGTGGCAGGGCCGCGCTGGGAAGTCGTCCTAGCTGTTCCAGCTGGGATCCTGGCCTGTACGTCCGCCAGGATGGGAGTGCGGACCCTAGAAGTCGTGTTTGTGGTGAGGAGAGGAGAAGGTGGGGGAAAGGGTAGGACATTAGAGTCCCAGGGAAGGAAGACAGCGTGATTGCTGCCTTCTGGATTGACCTGGAGAATGGCAGCTCACGGGCCTACGGATGTTTGGCGACGTTGGGATTCGATGCTCTTTGGGATACCTCTTTTCTCATTGTTTCATTTGGGGACCCAGATATCAGTTTCTAACTTCTGTCTCATAAGCCCTTCTTCAGACATGCCGCCGAGGCGTTACTTATTTTTAAACCCAGGCTGGCTTAGTGCTTACGTTCAACTTTTTTTTTTTTTTTAATTTTTGCCTGTGTTCGTGTGTTTTGACTGCAGAATTCTCGCTTGACCCGAATTTTCAGCGAATTTCAAAATTGGGGACTTAAGAAACAGAAAAGATTCACGTTTAAAAGGCTCAAGAAATTAAGTCGATTTGCTGATCTTCACGCATATATTCAGTTAATGTCCAATAATATTAATTATTTTAAAATGGAAATGAAAAGCAACACTAGAGGGGAAGTCCTAGAAAAGGACTCGTTGGGGTTTTTTTATTTTTAATTAAAAAAAAATCTGTTCTCAAGGAGACAAGTTCAGAGTGGTTTTAGGAAGACTATATGCCCTGCAACGAATGGATAATAATAGGTATCATCAAGCATCCTAGAAGCTGAAAATAAAGACACTGTGAGCTAATGCAAAAGGAGTGAGCTTTGTCAACTGGAGAGCGTGCAGTTGAAGGAGTCTGTTGTTAGTGACACCCCTGGGAGACTGTGAGCATCGTTGTGTTCAGATATGGTTGGACAGCTAACAGCCCGTGCTGCCTTTGGAGACTGGGACCCAGTCTGCCTGGAATGTCTTCCTTTGCTGACGTCCACTTGTAGCGGATGTATAAAATGCCTTGCGGCCATGGCCACTGAGGAATGACTTTAGACCAGGAGAGATTTTGTAGATACGAAGCGAAGGACACTCTTCTCTTTAGTACCTTATTTCCTCCTTCAGTGATAACTGAGTGCTGGGTACTGCTTAAGATGTTAAGGACTGTCTAAAAGGAGCAGCTGGTTAACATGAGAGGTTCCCCACAGTGTAATGCCCGGATTTCTGTGTGAAGTATTTGACAAGAGTTGTGTGTCCTCTGAGACTCAGTGCTGAATACCTTCTTGTCTTGACTACCCAAGGTCAGGTTATATTTCTTTGTAACAGTTGGTGACGTCATCCTGTCTTGGCTACCTGAAGTCAGGTTATACTTCTTTGTAACAATTGGTGACATCATAACCACGCCTGTCCAGCCCTGTCATGGGATGTTCCTCCCTCCCTGCTTACAAAAGTATAATTTGTTTTCAATGTCTAGTTGTTTTCTCCCCAGTTAGGCTTCCCTTTGGACTTTGAATAATTAAAAATTCATAAAAGTATTTTAACTTCCTTAGCCTGAGGTCTAAAACCTTTTGGTTCCTCTTTGTAACACCTGCTTCTTTTTTTCTGTGTCCTTTGGAGTATTTTTCATGACTGCCTCAACTAGTGTTTTTGCTTGTTTTGAGACATCTTCATGTAGCCTGTGCTGGACTTGAATCCACTGTCCAGCCAAGGAGATGAACTCCTAATCCTCCTGCCTCTGATTCTGTTTCCCAGGTGATAGATGACAGTCATGGACTTTCAGGTCTGGCTTATGTAGTACCTCCAGGTGGAACCGAGGACTTTGTGCATAATGGGCAAGCAACTCTTCTGCATGTGCAGCCCGACTCAGCTCGTTTAAAAGCCCTGCTTAATCCTATGTGTAGTCCAGTGGCTGGTGCGATGCCGTGCGTATAGGAAACCACACCAATATTTTGTTTAAGAAATAAATGAACCACTTTAGGAAGATGGCAGGAAGAATTTTCTCCCTATTTTAATATTATAGCTCTTTAGGCCACCTGAACTAGTAAAAGTGATTTGTTATATTAAAAGATATTTTTGGGGGTTGTGAATAACATTTTTAAATTTGGGATTAAAGTCTGGTTGGTTTTTTTTTTTTTTTTTTTGAACCTCACATATTTTTAGCCAATACTAGCAGCCATACAAATTTTAATTGCCATGATTTTTGGTCTTAGCCTTTAAGCATGCTGCTCCTGCAGCATGAGTGCCCTAGAAAGCTGGCTACTCTCTCCTGTGGAATTGGTTTGCATGTTCTGTTCCTGGAGAAGTTCACATGGATGTTCCCAGGTCACTTTATTTCTCACGTTGAGCACTTATCATACAGCTTTGTAATCACTCTCTTTTGGGCTGCTAGGCTTTTGGCATTGACAGAGCTGGAAATGTGCACACTTTGTCCTGAAAATGTCTCTTTAAGAGTCTCAGGTATAAATTTATGTTCCTTGCAGGGTTTTAAGTAATTTGACTCATTAACTTATGAACACATTAATTTAGTGTCCCACGTATGCCAGGTACTTGACGGAACTAAGTTTTTCCTAGAAGGAGCAATAATTTCTTATGCATTGAAGACAAGAAGTCAGAGGTGGCTGCCGGAGGTAAAGGGGCAGCTGGAGCCTTCCTAGAGAACATGCTCCGCCAAGGCCAACTCACTCCACATACATACTTCACTTGAAGACTCGGGGTCACGAAAGTTAGTCTTCCTGGTTCTCACGGAGAGTGACTTTGGTTGGATTGTACCCTACACTCCCTTTTTTGTAAAGATGTTTGCCTAGGGAGAGCAGCGGGTGGCTTACCTTAGGTTTTGTGATCAATTAGACAATTCATTTATAAATCTACTGGATTATTACTGAGTTCTGATCACGTGGCAGATGTGGGAGAATTAAATAAAGCCCAGTCAGTTTAAAAAACAGAAGGTACGTATGCTTTTAAAGATAGACTGTCAGTAATTTAGGTTAAGTGGATGTCTGCTTTGTGGGTACCATTCTTGGAATTTATGGAAAAGTGGACATTCAGGTTCCTTGGCAGTTGCTATTTTAATTTATTTTGTAGATAATTCAGGTACTTCCTCATTAATATAGAGGACTGATTGAACTTGTCAATGAATCTGTTTTGTGTTTTAGATTTTGAAGAAGATGATTTGTATGGCCAGTCTGTGGAGGATGATTATTGTATTTCACCATCAACAGGTAAGTTGTAAACCAAACAAACAAAAAGCCAAAAAACTATTTCTTTGATTTGACTGTTTAAAAGGATCAAGTAAGTATGATTGTCATCCTGGACTAGAGTCATAATACTATAATACATAAGTCCTAAAAAGATATGAAGCTGGTTAGTGGTGGTGCACACCTTTAATCCCAGCACTCGGGAGGCAGAAGTAGGCAGACCTCTGTGAGTTTGAGGCCAGCCTGGTGTCCAGAGCAAGTTCTGGACAGCCAGGACTACACAGAGCTCGAAACTACAAAACAAAACAAAACAAGATATGTGTATGTGTGTATTTATTTATATACTCACATTTTAAAATGTAAAGTTTTTGTAATGGTTTATTTGAAAACAGAAAATAGACTTTATATATATAGTTCAGGGTGGCCCTGAATTCTTGGTGGTCCTCCAGCTTTGGCCATACTTAGATGGCTTTGTAAGTATGCCCCACCAAGTTCACCTGTAAGAGTTTCTTACTCATGAATAATTTTTATGAGTTTTGTGTGTGTGTGTGTTCTGTGTTGGTGTAGGTGCATGCTTGTGTGCATGCGTGGGGAGTGTGGGAGAGCCTCAGGTATCTTATGTCACTCTTCATATTAGTTCTTTGACACAGTATCTCTCATAGGCTGGTAGCCAGCAAGTCTCAGGGATCCTGCTATCTCTGCCACCCAAAGCACTGGGGTTACAGACATGTACATGGCCACGCCTGGTTTTCATGGGTACTAGGGATTTGAACTCAGACCCTCATGCTTGTATAGTAAGAGTTTTTACCCACTTACCCATTTTAAACAAAAATGAAGAAGTTTAAGGAAAGCTTTGAAGACTTATTTTTCTAATAGTCTCTGTATTACACGGTTATATAAATCATTAAGATGTCACTTGGTCATAGTGAGATTCTGTGTTACCCCCTCGGTACAGTTCGCACGCCACTGTATGCAAGTTGGGCAAGGGCCTGGAGATTGAAAGAACACACAAGAGACCTGGGTCATTCGAAAGGAAATCAGCCGAATGCCATTTATTCAACCTTGGGGAAATCCTTATGTACCTAGCTGCTGCACAAGGATTTCTGCCCAGGCAGGTGGGAAATTACCACACGAAAGATGGGGTAAACAATGCCCTACGGCTAATCACCAGGTGGGGCAGAGGGAGCACAGGAACAAACAATGTTTTAGCTGGCTGACCAGAAACTGTCCTCAAGATGAACCCCAAGAACAAGGGTAGACCCGGGCCCTACAGTGAAATCCTAAGATCTCTGAAGGCAGATTTTTATGCCAAAAATCCCCGGGCGGTTCCCCAAGCAGCTAGCAGTGGGAAATGCTGGCGAGTCCCCAGTGGGGTGGGCGGGTGCCAGGCCCTGGAGTTTGGCAAGCCAGCGCGTGGGTAGGGACATGTGACAGACACATAGTATGAATCAGAACTGAACATTTATTACTTAGAGGAGAGAGAGGGAGAGGAGAAGAGAAAAAGAGAGGGAGACAGAGAGACAACGTGCACACACACCAAGAGAGGACAGTAAGAGATTCAAGATGGTGACTAGAGGTCTTGGGGGAGTGGGCGTGGCTTGTCCTTTAAAGGGACCAGAGACCAAAAGAATAACACAGATAGTAAATTTTGATCAGTAGTATTTGGAGTATTAGACTGGCATTTGGGAACCATTTATTTAGGGAAAGAATAGTAGTGCTTAGTTATGGATTTGAGAGGCTTATAGAGTCAAGGTCTGCTAGGTGTGGTGGCACATGTCTTTAATCCCAGCACTTGAGTAAGAGGCAGGCTGATCTCTGAGTTTGAAGCCAGCCTGGTGTATATGGCGAGTTCTAGACCAGTCAGGACTACAGAGACTGTGTCTCAAAGGCAAGTTGAGATCTACAAGGTTTGTTGAATATGGTTTCCATGAAAGTGGACTCTTCATACAGCAGTGATTGCTCACAATTGGTGCAAATTAATAGTTACTCTCTAGGTAGTACCTAGTGTTCTAACAGCACAAAAGTTACTCTTTCAGAAGTTGTTTTCCGGAGATTTACATGTATGGGCCTGGCTTACTTGATGCCTTGATCAGAGACTTCTGTGTGTCTCTCATGGCTTCATGCGAATCCTGCATTGTTCAGATTCTGGACACCCAGGCTGTGAGTTGTTTTTGTGTACATTAGGAAGTCTACTGAACAGTATGTAGTTAAATAGTTTTGCTTCTTTGATAAACTCACTTTTAACAAAAGCATGAGAATATGATTTTTTTTATTTTCTAGCACATTTACCGGGTGTGAAATGTAGCTTAGTAGGCATGCATGTAGCTTAGTAGGCATGTGTGAGATTCAACACCACCTTGTAGAAAGACAGCAATAACCAGAACACTCCACCACAAACAGTCAAGAAAGGAAAGTGTGTGGTGTAGCAGTAGCATTAGACCAGAACACACTCTAGCCTCTGCTGCCTCGGATCCCAACACACACCTCAGGCTAACCTGCAGTCTGGAATTTGTAAATGGATGTTTCCTCTCCTGACTGCCCAGTCCCAAATAACCGACTCAGAAGCTTACTATTGCTTATAAATGCTTTGCCAGTAGCTCAGGCTTGTTACTGGCTAACTCTTATACTTAAATTAACCCATATTTCTATTTATGCTTTGCCATGTGACTCATGACTTGTTACTCATTTTCTTCACCTGCTGCTTGCTGGGCAGCAGCTGACCTCTCCTGACTCCACCTCTTTTTCCTCATCATTACCAGTTTGGCTTTCCCACCTAACTTCCTGCCTAGCTACGCTCTGTCAGCTTTTCGTTAACCAATGAGAGTAATACATATTCATAGTGTAGAAAAGCATTGTCCCATATCAGGGATTCCCTGTTTCAGAGTCTCAGAAGTTAGGATAGCAGGCCTGAGCACCATGTGCTGGGCCTAGGTTATTTTTTAATGTGTGTTTTCAGGTAATTTCCAATAAGAAATGAGTAGTTTTAGAATAGTTTCTGATATTTAAAGCAGCAGCCTGTGGCAGAGCTGTGGGCTTTTGGCTGCTCTGTGAAGCAGAACCGCCTCTTCATTACTGCTGTCATGGTTGCTATCTGCCCCAATTTGCTCCTTTGTGGTTGTAATAAAACACCAGGACATAAAGCCACTCGAGGAGGAAAGGGTTTATGCAAATAAATGCCCCCACAAACATGCTTGCAGGCTGTCCTGGGTGGTAATTCCTCAGGTGAGAAGATCAGGCACCTCAGTATCTGAATACCCTAGACAGTATGTCTCATTTAGGGAATTAATGAACAAATGATGTATTGAGTAGCTCAGGGAATAAAACTCTAACCTTCTTTTGTTCATTCAAGAGGTGAGCATACATACTGTACTCATGGTCTAATAAAGCCTTTAATTGATAGATAGAGTATGTGATGGAGAGAAGGGAGAGAAAGATAAGTGGGTGGTTCATGCACTCTGGAGAGAGGTGGAACTGGAGATGCCATGGCGGCGAGGAACAGGCCTGTATGAGTAGCCATGCTTGATGTCCTGGGGCTGTGGTGTCACTGTGTGCTGCCCCTGAAGGCCATGTCTGGGTCTGAAGCCCTCCTATAGCTGGTGTCTGTGTTGATGTCTATGGCCTGTGTTACCATCAAAGGCCAAGTGGATGACCTTTGTCTAGTCTGCTGCCTGAAGCTACATCTGAGTGTGCTGCTTAGCTGGACATGCCCCTCACTGCTGGCAGGACTGCTGGCCCCACCCCTTGCTGGCTGCCCAGGATAGCAGGCCTGCACCTCTCACCCTGGTGGTGTGGGTGTGGGAGAGCTCTGAGGGCATGAGTGTAAGAGAGCTGGCCCTGCCTCTTGTTGGCCATGGAGTGCCAGCACAGGATAGCTGACCTTGCCCCGTGCTGGCTGGAGCACTTTGGTGAATAGGCCCTGCCCCTTGCCAGGACGGTGCTGGAGAGTCGGCCCCGATGGCACCAGTGCAGGAGATTCAGTCCTGCCTTTGCCAGCTTCCACAGGCAGGAAAGTCAGCTGTATCCCTTCCCTGGTAAAAGTGGGAGAGCTGGCCCTAGCGGTACAGGCACAGCAGAGCAGGTAGGATGACCAATTCAGCTACCATCCAGACCCAGATCCGGGGCTTTGAGTTGGCCTACTCCAACATCTACCCCATCTGTGAGCTGCTGGAGTCTGTGAAGGGCCCAGTCCTGTGTAATCAAAACTGCAGGATCTCCGTGACACAGCGCAACAAGAGGATATTGGAGAGGAGTCCCAGTGAGGATCTGGTATTGGTAGTGTAGCAGAAACCCGAGGCCTGGAACCAGACCTCATTGCAACGAACATTTTTGGTCAAAGGATATACTTTGTGTGGCACACTGCAGTTTCCACAGCGAGATTGTTTTCTTTTCTGGGGGAGGTTTGAAGGGTGGCAGGCGGACATGGAGATGAGTGCGATTGGGTTATGTGATATGAAATTCACAAAGAGTCAATTAAAGAAAATAATTCTAAAAAATATATATTTTTAAATTTAGTACTTATGCTTTTGGCAGCCTTTTGGAATCTGGCAAAATTAGTGTTTCTTGGATAGCAAAATTTAATATTGACTTCACTATGCAAATACATTTTGAGTGTTTTTTTAAGCAAATAAGTTTGATGTGTGCTTTAAAATATCAGTACCAAGAGAAAATAAAGGAGCATAATAGTGGGCAAGGATGAAATGAACAGAATGGTCTTGGAGACTGGGGGAAGGAAGGAAGAACAACAAGAGATTAGTGAGGTGCTAGTCTAAGGGCTTTGACTACAACTTGGGTAGAATTTATATTGTCTTGAAATATTTATAATTTCATCACTTGTCAAAGTGATTGTAAGTGGTGATCAGATTTGTGTGTGTAATCATGCACGTGTGTGTGTGTGTATAGTGAATGCATGCGTGTGAATGTAGATGCCTTCCTTCTGTACATTAGCGTACAGAGACCAGAGCAGTACATACTGATGTTTTCCTCTGTTTCTTTCTGCTTTAGTGCCTTCAATGGGATTTCTCAGCTTCAGTATTGAGAATCAAACCCAGGGCCTTATGCACACTAGGGAAGTGTTGTAGGGAGCTGCGGGTTGCATTCCGTCACCCAGCTCCCGCCACTGGCTAGCTTTACCTCTGAAATAACAACACACAAATTGTATTCTTTTAAACACTGCTTGGCCCATTAACTCTAACCCTTACAGGCTAATTCTCATATCCCGATCAACCCATATCTAATAATCTGTGTAGCATCAGTCTTACCGGGAAAGATTCTAGCCTACGTCCATTCTGGGTCTGCGTCTGCCCCCCGAGAGCTGAGCTATGGCGTCTCTTCAGAGAGCAGAGCTGTCGAGACTGAACTCACTTCCTCTTCCTCCCAGCATTCTGTTCTGCCTACTCTGCCCACCTATGTTCTAACCAATAAAATGGGCCAAGGCAGTTTCTTTATTAGCCAATGACCTTCCTCCATCAGGGAAGCTTTTACTAATGAACTATAGTCTCATCTCCTTTATCTTTTTTTTTTTTTTTTCTCGAGACAGGGTTTCTCTGTGGTTTTGGAGCCTGTCCTGGAACTAGCTCTTGTAGACCAGGCTCCTTTATCTTAATTTTTGTTAAAAAATGAGAAAAAGTTAGGAACTGGCTATATTACAGCATTCTTCATTTTGTATTCTAGCTGCTCAGTTTATTTACTCACGACGTGACAACCCTGTAGAAGAATATGGTTATGAAGATCTGAAAGAGTCTTCTAATTCTCTTTTGAATCAACAATTAAGTGAACTTGACCAAGGTATGGCTTTTTAAATTAGCATATCTTCATTAGCTGAAAATGATTAATCACCAAGTAAGAATTTATAAAGTTTATTGAGATTATTCATAGTAATGAATATGAACAGTAATGATATAAGCATATCTTATTCTTTGAAGGAAACTTTGCATCTTATTTAATGTATCTATTGAGAAGTCTGTTGAAGTGTATGATTGAGAATTTGATTCCATTAAGCCTATCAGCTGCTGAATAACTGGGATTTTTGACTGAGTTTTCTCATTCTTTCATGTTTTACAAGGAAGAGAAATTCAGTGATTTGTTGAAACAATTTTTAAAGGACTGTGGTCCATGAGGTTTTAGAGAGCTGATGACTAAAGGACAGGAGTTGCTCTATTTACAAGAAGGGTAGCTTCCAAGAAGTTTAAGGAAGAAACCTCTGAAAAACAGAGTAACCCAGAGTAACAACCGCAGCTGTTATGTCTGTGAGTGAAGTCAAGATGGAACCTGTAAGGAGTAGCAGCACTGATTGTTTGCTTACTTTTAACTCTTAAACATTTGAAAAGAATAGCTATGTTTCGGCCTCCTTTTACTAATACGTTTCATATGTGACATTGCTTCAGGAATTTGTTAAACCATAGATTGATAGAGTAAGCGGCCAGGTACGTGAGTAAGACTGTCTGGAGAATGAGTGAGGCTGAGCTCTGCTCCCCCCTTTGCAGTTGTACTTTTCCTATACATGTTGTTCATGTAAAGTTTATAATTGACTTGGAAACAGAAAGAAATGGGAGAATGTAAGCTGATCTTTGAATATGTTAATAAAACAATCACTGGGGCCAGAAAGGCAGCTCAGTGATTAAGAGCACTTGCTGCTCTTCTAGGAGACCTGGATTCAGTTCCCTGCACCCACATGTTGGTCCACAGAGCATCCATTACTCCAGTTCCATGGGATCAGATACTCGCTTCTGACCTCTGGGGCAGTAGACTTGGGCATGATGCACATACATACATGAAGGCAAAACACTCAGATAGAGGAAATAAATATTTTCTTAAATGGCAGGAGCTAACAATCAGCGTAAATAGAAGGAAGGCATAACTACATAAATCAGAAAGTAGGAGAAATTAAATTTTGTCAACTCTGTAGATTGAGTTGGACATCTGGTGTTAGTGACTTGGACAGAGGTAGTGCTGTCTGTACTCAGGAGTGTTAGCATAGTCATGAGGGATAAGAAGGCAGGAGTAGAATAGAGGTCCTTTTTCTGCCACCTGTGCTTCTGTGGTCAGTGATTAAGTCCAAGTTATTTGAGAAAGGAGGCTAACTTTCCATCCTGACATGTAACTACTTACATAGCAGGGATAATTGTGACCCATGTTAACTACCTGCTTAGCAGGCTCTCTATTAACACACTGAATCTGCCTGGCCTTATTGGTAAGTTTTATTTCATAGGAACACGAATAGGCTATGGATTGATTAGGCCAGCCTGACTGTAGTCTCCACTTTTCACCTCCTTACTACTTTTCCTCTTTATGAATGTGTAGGGATAGATATACTATGATTAATGATTAGACGTTCTGATGCCTGTTCTGTTAAATATTGCCATCCAGTTTCAGTGATTCATGTATTAGTTCAGTACATGATTCTTTCCTAGTAACAGGGAAAGCCTGTGTAATTCTTACACAGAGCCAAAGCAGAATTGTCTTGGTATTTAAGGAATTTGTTTTTGTAATTAGAAAGTGCAGAATAGCTTTTACTAAGGGAAGTATTAAGTATTGATAGTAGATGCCTTATCATGTTCAACACAGAAACTTTTGAGGTGAATTACATTCTGTGACATGTCTGGCATACAGCATTTCTGTGAGGATTGGATATTATCAGTGTGAGGCAAAACACTCAGATATAGGGAATAAATATTTTCTTAAATGCCAGGAGCTAACAAAATCAGGGTAATTGTGCATATACACAAATGAGTATCTGTTTTGATTCTTTAGCCTCTAGGCACCTGGTCCCATTTTAGCTCTTAAGGATGTAAGACTGATTATGTTATACTAAATTTTTATCATAGCTTAATTATAAGAAAAATGAAAATCTTTAAGCAGTGCAATCCTAGGTTTAATTATGGTTTTAACCATGAATGTTCCTTTCTGTCTTTATTTCTTAGATTTGATTATTTTGGTCTTAAATTATTTTGATAATTTTAAAGGATGATATTTGTCGGTAATGGAGAGAGCTCAGTTAGTTTGGCAAAAAAAATAGCGGTTTGTGACATGTAAGAAATATAGCTAGTGATTGCCTGGGATTACCAACAAGTTTATAATAGTCTCACACAATCCCCTTTCCTGTCTAGTCATGCTGGAAGTGATTGGGAGAAATTTCACCATGACTGTCTCAAAATGTTAGTGTGTCATTTGTATTTTTTTTAAATATTTGTTATTTTTGATTATGTTTATATGTGTATGTCTGTGTGTTGACATGTGCACATGAGTGAAGATGTCTAGAGACCTCAAAAGAGGGTTTTAGATCATCTGGAGTTGGAGTTACAGGCTGATCTGATTGACCCAATGTTGGTGTTTGGGAACCAAATTTGGGTCCCTCTGTAAGAATAGTACCTATCTGCTTTACCCTCTGAGCCATCTGTCCAGCTCCATCCATTTGTATTTTTTAAGCAATTGGGAACATGTAACCTTATCCTGCACTGAGAATATATATTGTTGTATGCAATTTATATGTATTTTTTCAAGTATTATTTATAAGCATTCATTACATTGATTTCTTCATTTATGAGATATGAGAAGACAGTGCATAGTAGATAAAATATAACCATTGTAAGTAATTTCTACTGAAGAAAAGGAGAGTTTGACTTGCTAGTATAATTTAAAAGTCTCTGTTCACATGTGAAGATCTTTCACGATGAGAGCTCTTTGAAGATGCTGTATAGTACAGCTCTTTCTCTGTTGTGTGTTCTAGCTCGTCTGTACTCATGCCTTGATCACATGCGAGAGGTACTGGGAGATGCTGCGCCTGATGACATACTGATTGAAGCAATTCTGAAAAACAAGTTTGATGTCCAGAAGGCTTTGTCAGTGGTTCTGGAACAAGACAATGTGCAGAATATGAAGGAGAAGAGCGAAAGAGCAGTGTCTGCAGGAAAGGCATCGAAAGGTATGCTTTCACTCCCCCTAGCTCTTCTGGGTGCTGAGCAAAAAGTGAATTTGCTGAGTTGTTAGTTGGCTACATCAGTAATCTCAGTTATTATCAGTTGGCTTTCTAGTTTGCACTTTTGTAAAGGCAGTTCTATTTTATGTATGTGAGTGTTTTGCCTACATTTCTATCTGTGCCCCACATGTGTGCAGTGTCTTAGGAGGTCAAAAGAAGGTGTCGGATCCCCTGAACTGGAGTTAAGGATGGTTGTGAGCCACTGCGTGGGTGCTGGGAACCAAACCATGGTCCTCGGTAAGAGAAGATTGACAATGCTCTTGACTATTGAGCCAGCGCTAGCATCAGTTTGGGGATTTTTAATTTGAGTTTTGTGTTTGCTTCCATAACCAACAGCACAAAGGAAATAAAATCAGATAAAAGAAGACATTTTCCTTCTTGTTAGTTTCTTATTGAACTTTATAAAATCCTAATGAAATGAGACAGAATTGAATATCTAGCCATTGATAAAAATTCCTCTGTACTTAGGTCATAGATATTTATAACTATAATTTCATGTTATTTGAGTATCATTAAATAATATAAAGTATTAAAATTGTACTCTTCATATTTCATTTTAGCTAATGCATAAAAAAACAAGAATAGGTTTTTAATTTTAGATTTGTGGGTTTGGGGTTTAGAATTTTGTGGACATGAGAACTGAGGTACAGTTGTATTAATTGGCATGATTCTGTTACTGGGAGTGTGGTCATTTGTTAACTGGATTGATATGTCCTTTAATCTTTGGGTTAGGCCTCTGCAAAATTGCATGCAGCCTACCCCTGTGAAATCAGTATGTTTCTGCATGTGGGGATTGGGACTCAGGTGTACTTTTTTTTTTTTAGGTTTTTCAAGACAGGGTTTCTCTAGCTTTTGGAGTCTGTCCTGGAACTAGTTCTGGTAGACCAGGATGGCCTTGAACTCAAAGAGATCCGCCTGCCACCACTACCCGGCTCAGGCGTACTTTTAAGTGATTGTAATGATAATGTCTTCTCTATTAATAAAGTGTTCCTAGAACACAGGAAATCACAGATGGTGTATGCTTGTTGTTTTTAATGTATTAAAGTACAGAGAAAAATGAACCCAGTTTTTTACTTTTTAAAAGAAGTTTTAAAAGTTTTAAAATTTAAAGATTTAAGAGTTTAAAAAGTTTTAAAATGGTAATCATGGCAATTTCAGTGTGATAGAGCTTCACATTCATGAAATCTATGATTCCATGATAAATCCATGGAAATTAGAATGTTTACTCACATATTAAAATAGTGTGAAGGTCATCTTAGGTTGTTAGAGGTAATATTCCTCTTTTGTTTTCCTCATTGTCCCTGTTGCTAAATAATGAACATGTATCGCTTTAGTTGTAATCAAAGGAAGCACTTAGTAATTAAATGCCTTATTTCATGTCTCCTTTTGGTTGCTGTGACTGTCTTCTGCAAATGTCAACTCGCTCATCTGAACATTAATGGCTCTTGTAAGGTAAGGAGTCTTATTTTCTTCTAATGAAGTTTCAGTTGAAAATGTTCAAAATTCTTGCCCTCAATCAGAAAATCATTTGGATAGCAACAGCAAATCTTTTGATTGTTCTAGTGCAATAGCAAAATATGGATCACATAATTCTTCACTTGTGCCAAGTCACTATTTACTTCATAGAAAAAAGAAACTTGACAGACCCCAAAGTGAAAAGGAACTAGAATCATGTAAGTTAACAAAGGAGCTGTCCCTGACACCCCTGACTGATGACGTGCCAAGAGATCCTTGTGCACGTCAGCCGTCAGTCAGTCTGTCCCCCACAGTCAGTCTGCAGAGTGGGCCTTGTAAGACTGCAGATGCTCCTGCATCTGAGTGTGCTCCCGAGGAGGATTTCACTCTGAAAGAAATACCAGACTTAAAGTCCTTGATGAGAGGGAACATGGCAGCCAGTGCTTCTCGGGGTGTTCAAAGCAGTGTGCTACCTGATTTTCAAAGCATGCCAGTGCAGACCATCTTGGGAAGTTTAAATAACCCGTTGCACTTACCTGTCCCATTGGAAAATAATTTTAATCCCAGTATAAACACTGAAGCTGGACAAAGTGCCAAGAATAATATTGTAAAGAATAATAGTTTACCATTTTTCCAGTGTGAAAGTCTATCCCTAGCTGAGCTGGTTGAGGAACACAGAGAAAACAGTCCCAGCCAGTGCTTTACTTTATCCGACCTGTGTAACCAGTCATCTGCTGGCTTGGGGTCCCTTCCCCTGTCACAACTGGCAAACCGCTCTCCGTCTTCTAATGAAGTATCAGAGTTAACAGGATCTCTGTCATCGTTGGCATTTTCCAAAACTTCTCCCACAAGAGACCTGGAGAATTTGTCCCTTTCAGATTTGATTGCAAAAACGATTGAATTAGACAAGTCTCCGATTAAGAGAGATTCCTTTGAGCTCAGTTTATCTGAATTGAGAAATCCTGGAATTGATTCAAATATTGATCTTAGTGTTCTGATAAAAACTCCAGAGTTTGTTTCAAAGCCTGTAGCTGACCCATCAGTTGCTCCAACAGCAGACACTAAAGTTCTAACTTCAAAGTTAGGGAAAAATTCCAGTTCTACTAAGGATAGTAAGAAAACTAAAAGAGGCTCCCTTGCTAAGAAAGCACCGTTGTCTCTGGCGTGGACCAAGGCTCTTGCTGCTAGGCCTTCAGCTTTTGCTTCAACGCTGTGTCTTCGTTACCCACTGAAGAGCTGCAGGAGGCGCACTCTTGACCTCTACAAGACTTTCCTTTATAGCAGACAAGTTCAAGATGTGTCGGACAAAGAAATGAGTCCTCTTATAGCAATAACGCCATTTGACTTCAAATCAGCATCCCCGGATGACATTGTAAAAGCCAATCAAAAGAAAGCATTTACTAGAGAATAGTAATGAGAGGAAAACTCAGTTACTGTTGCAAGCTTTTTAATCTTAATGTAAAGTCTCTGTAGCATCATTTTCAATTATGGGATCAAATTGTGATTTTTATTAAAATTGTCTTAAGTACATTTTAACAACTTAAGTTGGTAAGGATTTTTGCACTGAGTTTTTTTTTTTTTTTAACAATGTCTTTTTGGAGTAATGACTGGTTTCATTTGAATGCTAGCTCATAGAGTATGTTTACAATGTACGTATGGAAACATTGTGAATTGAACATCAGATGTTTCATTTGACAAACAACTTAAGTTTTATGAGGAGATATTTTTTTCTATGAACTATTTTGTTCTCTTTTTTTTGTAAATGAATGTGCAACTACTTGGGCTTATAGTATGAAATTTGTTCTTAGGATGCATAGCATAGTTGAGATATACTTATATTTTCAAGTATTATTGGCATCATTCCTAGTTTTATTATTTTTTCTTAGGTGACTACTAAAACTTTCCTATTAGAAACTTTTGAAATTCTTGATTTTTGAAAGTACTATGAATTATGGTTGAGGTGCATTTTTAATGATAAGATGAAAATCTTTTAAGGGACCATGTATATATTGCAGCTGAACTAATGCATAAATTATTTTTATACATTATTTTATAGATTTTGAAGGCATCTTCTTTAAAATAAACATATAGAAAGTGTTTGGAAGTATGTTTGCATGTTATTTTAATAGGTTTTTGCCAGATTTCTTCAATAGTTTCTTTACAGTAAATAATGAGATATAGACCCTTCCTTTTTGCTCCTGATGACTGTATGCCTGGCAGTGACCCATCAGAGGTGACAGATCCCATGAGAGTGCTTATAGTCAGTAGGAGAAGGCTATGTCTTCAATAGCGCTGGTCCTAGAATTTGGGAATCACCCGGAGAAGATTTTTCTAAATACAGCCACTGTTACTGCTTTTCAGATGTCTGAGTTGGTTTCTGAGGATCCCTTGGGAATGTGGTTCTAGAAGGTCTCCAGGTGGTACTTATGTCTGCTTTTCCTGGAGAGTTGTATAGTAAAATTTTAGTGCCAAATATATCTGACCAACTTAATTTCTAATAATCAGGAATATCAAGGAAAATTACTTATCAGGGATAATGACCTTTTGCCTAGAATAATAAAAAGTAGTGTTTATATTTCTTGCATAAAGCTATTTCTTAGTGAACATTGAGTAGCTGCCATCTAAGTAGAAATATTTTTTTTTTTTTGGAAGCTACTTCACTATTCCTTGAATTTTTTTTTTGTGCGTGTGTGTGTTGTATTCAATTTTTTCCAGTAGTTTTAGCTGTACATGATACTGCCATATCCAGTATTCTTCTGAGCCACAGCATGAGTCCCACATAGTATTTGTAACTGAGTATATCATTGTTTATAATGTCCAGGACATTATAAAAACCAGAACATACATTTTAGGATTAGCATTAACATTGGGTTCACTAGTCTTTCACCATCAGTTCAGTAGCTGACTTCTGTATGTGACTAACCAATTAGAGTTATGTATAGGCAGTGTCCTGTGTAGAGTGGAATTGTATTCTGAGAGTTTGTGACACATCATTACTCCGGATACAGTAAGCCTTATGCAAGTGGTTCTCTTTGCTCGTAAAGCCACAATTGTCACTTAATCCACACTGAAGAGTGTGATAGTATTATTTTACTTTTTAATAGTAATTTTCAAGAAGAAAAACAATACTTTGAGAATTGTACTGTTTTAAGTGGACCGTGTGTCTCTTTGTCGGCTGATTAGGATTGAAACTACCACTTGTCTTGGCTACTGGACTGTCGGACATGTGCTTGACAAGGCCTTGCCCTTTTGGCTGTGGGAATGTCACAGTTTCTGAGACTCAGAGGGTGAAGCCAAGAAACCTCTTTGCTGCTTCCACTTGTGGCCATGGTCCTTGGCATAGAGGTGTGCTCATTGATAAACAAACTGTTGTTAGGGTGTTTGCACCAAATGTGTACTGGCTGCTGCTCGTTGACCAACTGCTGTCTTCGTAGCTCAGGGATGTTGAGTATGTAAGGCTTACTTTATTTTCTATTTCAGATATTCATGGTGAGAAACAAAGCCATTTCTGTTTGTGTTATGATCAGATGTCTCTATTTACATAGGAATACAATAAAATTAGTCCTAAATTATGTGAAAAATGTTCAAAATTTTTGCTTTTTGCTCTTTTTGTTCTATTGTGTGCATGGGTGTTTTGTCCTGACATTGTAAAGGACAGAATTCTTAAAATTGACTGTCCAGAACCAGGAATTCATTCAGTACAGAACACTTAGCTTTTCCTTTTTTCCCATTTACGTTCTCACCTGTTTATCTCCTTGGCTTTCAACCTTTCTTTCTTGCGGTATCTGGGCCATCTTGCATCTAGTTGTGACCCCAATGATAATGTCAGAAAGGTGCTTTGGATATAAAAGGAAGCACTAAAGATGATACAGTGCAGAGAAAAAGAACAAGTTTGTAAATGGCTGCTATTTTTTAGATTGGCCTTGAACCTATATTTGGATTATTAAATTTTGGAAAAATGATGTATCATCAATTTTCTCTTATGTCCACATATATATACACACACACAATATATATATATTTGTTGATAAAATTTATTTATAGTAAATATATAAATATTTGTTTATAAAATGAGTTCTGTAGTAGCTTAGAAATTGTTTTCTGTTATTTTAATAATGGAATGTGTGTAAACAAAGATAATGTTGGCTAGAAAGGGAAGAATTAATAGGAATTTCTCTTACGTTTGTACCTATAATTATATAAAACTTGGTAATTGTGTAAGTGATTTTCAGGCTGTTGGAAACATGTCACATTCTGAGTGTATATGTACATTTTTATAAAAGCTATGTTGAAAGAAATTACAACATAGGTTTTCTTACCCATGAGAAGTTTCTATAGAAATTTGATACTTCAGAATGGTATTTTGTAATTAATGTGGAAAGTACTACTGTTTCATGTCTCTATAAATGAACTAAAAACAGTCCGTCTTGGTGTGAAGAATTTCTTCTAATATTTTCATCATTTGTAGTTCTTCTTTTCTGTAGGATGTGTGTGCGTGCATGCAGGTATATCTGTGTTATTTGATATTTTATGAGTCATATAGAAACATAATTAACCATACAGGTTAGGAGTTAGGGTGACTATTGATTTCAGAGATTATGGTGGAAGGAGTAAGAATTGAGTCCATATTTCCTGCCTTGTCATGCTTGGGTTATATTGTGCTATTTAAAGCAGAACATTTTAGATGCAGGCGACATGCCAAGGTAACAGTGTGAGGATTCTTCCTTCAAAGAGGTGGGTAGATGTAGACATGTATTTATAGCAAGTTGTAGCACATGCAATCCTGAAACTGATGTCTGTCTTTTCCCCATCTGAACTGCTGCTTCCTTGCTTTTTCCCTGGCTTATCAGTCTCTGTCTGTCAGATCAGAAACCTAGCGTCATCTTTGATTCCTCTCTCCCTGACCTGCTACTTATAACTGATTGCCACACTTATGTCTAATGTATGAGGAAGCATTTATGTATGCATATATGCATGCAGAGAGTGTCAGTTCTTCTTATTTGGGGTAATCATTTCACTGAGTGATGGCAAATACTGAATTAGGATTTACTGACATTCTTTCTATATGACATATATGATCGCTGTGTCCTGTAATTGATAAGCCACTGGTTGCATGTCCATCAACCGCTCAGCATATAACTTTGTTTTACACGTGCCTCTATTAAAGATACATTATTTAATATATATTACTGTATCTCATTAATACATTGACATCGAGCCCACAGAGATTCATAAAGTACTACTTCATCTAATATTCACTTTGTATTCATAAAGTATCTCATAGTTTTCTTATGCCTAGGGGTTTTAGGTATATCAGTATTCTTCCAAGAAGGCAAAAATAGAAAAGCATGAGAGTAAATGAACCCTGCAAAGCACATGTTTACAGTACTAGAGCTGAAACAAGAGAATAGTGTTGCTGTGTTTGCCCTCACCTAGGAACTTAGCTGTTGATGGCTCTAATTGTTCAGTGTTCCATGCAGGTCTGAAAGTGATGTCTGCAGTGCCCTGAGTAGTGATTTCTGGTTGCAGATATATGGTAGTGAAAATTTGAATACCCAGATTTGGGGTCCATGAATCAAGGGGATCTGATTCACTATTCCCCATCTTTAGTGATTTCTTTCAAGACTTCTAGCTTTTGAAGAACTACAGCAACATCTAAGTAGTCTCTTGATTCAGTGCATTTTCTCTTAAAGTATTTCATACACTAGACCCAGAGTAAATTTTCTGAAGTGTTCATGTATTCTTTTTTTCTGCCTATTTTTTCTGCTTTTCTTTCTTAAGCCCTTCTTCTGATATGTGTAGTGTTACACTGTGCAGTCTCACGGGCACACCTCCTTGAACCTCTTCTTCCTTCCCCTCCCCTCTTGTACCTGACTATGTTCTCTTCGGACTAGAGTTCATATAGAGTTTTATAATATCCTGAGTCATGGTGTCTTCGTATGCATCTGTACCTCACTGTATTCTCTTATTTCCACCCCATAGGAAATTGTTATCACACCTGCAGATACGTATTTTTTCTATTGCCTTTCCATATTTTTAAGTTATTTGTATTCTTTTTAAAGCTGTTATTTCTTAATTTTCGTCTACTTTTTTTCTGCTTTAACTTTAGTAAGTTTTAGGGATATGTGTGTATGTATAAATGTATCTATAAACACAGTTATATATATATACATATATATATGTATATATGCTGCATAGATTAGACCTTATAATTATTGTTACTTCTGATTCCTATTTTGCCATGTGTTAAATTTTGGCTTTGTTTAGACAGTTTTATTCTGTTGTCCATGTTGGCCTAGATTCACTGTGTAGCCCGTGCTGGCTCTAGCTCATAACCATTTCTGCCTCAGCCTCCCAGGTGCTGGGATAACAAGGTGTGTACCTTTACTTTCTGCTCTTAGGGCATATTTTAGAAGATAAAATTTTTTCAGTTTTTAAATCAAATTTTTCTTTTTTTCTTAAGACCTTTTGTTTGAAAGTTCTGATTCGTTATATTAATTAATATAGAGTCAGTATTTTAATACCTTTAACAGATTCTTTTATTTTTAACTTTTGTGTCTTTGATTCAGTGACATTGAGGGCTAACACAGTAAATTTGGTTTCCCTACCAGCATCTTTCCTCTTTATAGAAAGGTAGGTTTCTTATTAGACCTGTTGTGACATATACTAAATTGTTCTCTATCTTGGGGCTCTACTAATACATTTTTAGGTCCTGTAGCTTTGAATTTCTCTTCAGTATTTTGTAGACTGACTTTCTTTCTCTTCTCCCCTCCATTTCCCTCTTCTCCTCTCCCCTCCCTCCCTCCCTCCCTTCCCTTCCCTTCTTTTTGTTGTTCCCCTTCCCTTCTTTTTGTTGTTCCTCCTTCCCTCCTTTCCTTGTTTTTACAAGGTTTCTCTATTTAACTGCTCTGGCTGTTCAGGAACTCACTCTATAGACCAGGATGGCTTCAAACTCAAAGAGATCCACCTGCCTCTGCCTCCCAAGTGCTGGGATTAAAGGTGTGCGCCACCACGCCTAGCAATAGTTTTTTTTGTGTTATCTTTCAAATAGCTTTCTTCCCGTTTTAAGTTTTTGAGAAAGTTTGTTTAATGATTACAAAATGCCCTTGGAGACAAGAAAACACTGTCTCCATGGATACAGATGGCTTTAGATAACATTAAGTATTACATTATTAGTGTTCTAATAGATCTTCTAATATCAAGTCTAGTCTGATAATGCAGCACATTGAATATTCTCTAATGTGCTAGTTTCTTTTTGCTATCATTTTATTTAAGATGATATCCATTCATAAAATTAGTTTACAGTTGTTGGTTTATAACTTGCTTTGTAGCTGAGGATGGCTCTCTCAAACTCGGATCCCCCTGCTTCAACCTTCTCAGTGGTGGAATTACAGGTCTCTATCACCATACCCAGCCCTCAGTTTTTAAATGAGTTGACGTCTTATTAGACCCTCTTTGTCTTTTTACATTGAATCCCTTTTCTTATCTTCCTTTCAGAATACCGCAAAATGTTTTTTGAGTTAGTAGTACATGATCGTGATTTTACGGCTTATATTTTTCATGACAAACAGGAGATGGAGCCCCCTTGTTTGCCTGGACTAACTCCCAGATGTTCTATTCTTGTGTGTTTTTAGTGAATTAGTCAATGTTTTTGTTGCTGTGATGAACCTACTAAGCATCTTAAGCCAGTATTTGGTTTCATGGTTTGTGGGTTAAATCCACAAGGTTAGCAGCACAGGTTATAAACCCTGTTTCTGTTCTCTTATGACCCACTTTCAGTGAGGCTCCATCTCTGAGAAGTTCTAAAACCTTCCAAACTACTGCCATCAGCAGGGGACCTGTTCTTTAAATGGACAAATCTGTGGGAATATTTCACATTTGCACAGCTAGCTAGCTGAGTCTGTTGTGGCCTTTATTTCTGTAGCACTGTTCTACCCTTCCTCTCTTCCCCTGAGCTGTCTTTCGGATCTTCCTCCATCTCTTTGATTTTATTTTCTTCTGTATGTTTGAGTCCTTGGCTGTACTGTATATGTGGGTGTCTGGGGCCTGCAGAGAGCAGGAGAAGGCATCAGAACCCCTGGAATGAGATGCAGGTGGTTGTCTGCCCCCACGGATGCTGGGAAGCAGGTTCTGTGGAGATGAAGAGTAACTGCTACTCCAGCCTCCTTTCTCTTGTTTAAAACCTTTTCTTCCATTTTTAAACTCTTCTTAGCCACAGTATTTTTACTATATTACATATGGTAGACTATAAAAACAATTTCTTCTTTCATTCATGTTCTATATTCTTCATGTGCTTTTAAGTTGTTTTTTATTTTTCTTAGAGTGTCTTCCTATAACCTCTGTCTTGGCATGTTTGAATATTTTTTATTTGAGAAAGAGGGAGTTTAGTTTAAAAATATAGTTATCTCATATTTTAAATGATGTATGTGTGGTGGGGTTGCATGTGCATATGGATGCAGGTGCACCTGGAGACAAGAAGATGGCGTCAGATTCCCCCTGGAGCTAAAGTTACAATGATTTATTCAACATGTGCTCAGAATAGAACTTGAGTTCATGCAGGAGCAGGACACGCTCTTAACTGCTGAGCCATCTGTCCAGCCACTGGAATTTTACTTTTCAATAGTGCCATTGAAGAATGGAGAGCATGTAGGGCTGAACTGGGGCCATCTTGTGTTCTTGACCTTGTTGTATTCTGTTCTTGGCTCATACCTAGTACAGCTTTGTAAATATTTCATTTCTTTTGTGGAGGCAGAGCATAAAACTTTTACCTTTTTTCTTCTTGGTTCTTCAAGACAGGGTTTCTCTGTAGTTTTGGAGCCTGTCTTGGAACTAGCTTTTGTAGACCAGGCTGGCCTTGAACTCACAGAGATCCGCCTGCCTCTGCCTCCCTGGTACTGGGATTAAAGGTGTGTCGCCACCACCACCTGGCTCACCTTTTATGTTTTATAGTAATAAGTGCAATTTCTAAGATAGTGTGCTAAATGCTAACATCCTTCTTAATTTTGATAATTGTGTTATCATGTGTGTTAAATCATACTAGTAGCAAACACACAGCCTAAGAATGGGTTCTCGATACAGTTCTGTTACCATTCATATGAGTGAGCTGTTAAAAGAGCATTTGGGAGAAGGCATTAAATCATGGGATAATCTTTTCTGATGTATTTTCCTCCTCTCAATTGTGGTGGCGCACACCCTTAATTCCAACACTCTGGAGGCAGCTTAAGACAGATCTCTCTGAGATTTCAGCCAGCCTGGTCTACATAGTCAGATAACCCGGCTTATGTAGAGAGTCTCTACCTCAAAATAAGTAAATAAATGCCGTGTTTTGGTAGTAGCTCTGTTTATTAGCAGACTTTATGTAATGTGTCTGTATTCCCTGCTGTGACTGCGTCAGCTGTGTTATTTAAAATAGTCTTAGAGCAT